GGGGAGTAAGTTGAGGTTGGGAAGTAGGCCGAAGCCGGCGTCTAGGACAGTGAAGTAGGCTTTCTGCAGAGGCAGAAAATGATGACGGAGTCTATGTGGACAAAGAGGTTTGTGGATTAGGAAGAGGGGTAACGGACGGAGACAGGGGAAATAAAGGCGATGAATACGGGGGGGATGAAGTCACGGGTGATGAAGTCAGGGGTGGTGAAGTCAGGGGTGGTGAAGTGGCTGAAGCAGAAACAGGGGGGGCAGTCATAGGTGAGACCCGGAGAGGGGACTCTGCAGGTGGTAATGCAGGCATGGCCACTGATGTCATGGAGGAACACACCAAGACCAAGGGCAACACAACAGTTGCGGTGGACATGGATGCCATGGAGGAACACACCGAGACCAAGGGCAACACAACAACTGCGGTGGCCACGGACGCCATGGAGGAACACACCGAGACCAAGGGCGACACAGCAGTTGTGGGTCGAGTTGCTCCCGCGGAATCAATCGTAGAAGCAACCAAGGCCGATGAGGAAGAGGTTGCGAACCGACAAGAGGCAGCCAGGGTCACAAACGGCATGGAAGGGGTTACTAAGACTGATGAGGACGCAGGCGCAATAGACGCAAGTAATGGAGAAGAGGTTGTGATAGGTGTGACAGGCGCCGGTAATGAAGAAGGGGCTGTGACAGGCATAGTCTGAGGACAGTGTGTGGATACCCGAGAAAGCGGGTGGTGAATAGACCATCGAAGCATGTTGCGGAACCAGCTGGAGAGGCGGGTCACGTGCGCAACGTACCCGTGTTGACGTTTACGAATATAGGAAGTCCATCCTTTCGCAAGCATTGTTGGAGAGTGCCCGCGAAAAAGCATGCGGCGTGTGAGGATCGCTGCTGTAGTTTTGAAATCATACCAGTTATTGCAGACATACTCAAACCTAGTAAGCTGGCCTGTAAACACTCATGCCGGCTGGTGTGCAGGGACGTTAGACGTAGCACTAGGATAACGAATAACAGGGAAATTTCATTCATCTGCTTTGTCAAAGACACTCATGTGCAGGGAACCGTCAAGGCGGACTTGGAGGCGTGCACCCAAGAATGTGCAAGAGCCATCAGGCGTTGTCGTCTCCTTCCATTCGAGGCCATAGTGCTTTGACGGTGGTGGCAGATGTCCCCATGAGAGAACATCATCGATCAAGCAGTATGTGAATTCGAGGCCATAGTGCTCTGACGGTGGTGGCAGATGTCCCCATGAGAGAACATCATCGATCAAGCGGTATGTGAACGCATACCGTTGAGCTGCGCGAAGATCACGCCGCTGGAGGTCATCAACAAGTCAAGCCTCATCCCAATACAACGTCAAATTAGCTATCTCCGGACCAGAATTCGTCCCCATTGGGATGCCAATCAGCTGATGTCGCAAGGTGTCGTCCGCTGCATAAAGATACGTGTTTGTGACAATGAAATGGAGATGTTCAAGAATTTGGGAAACAGTCAAGGTGTTCAGTCCGGTATCAACCGTCCACTCCCCTTGACGGGGCCCTTTAACAATCATGATAAGGGTAGGAGGATGTGTGTGCCCCTGTGTGTGCTGTTGTAAGGCATATTTATAAGCTTCCTCAACCGCTTTTGATACATTATGATAAATACAGTCATGAGGAAGATTGGCATACATAGTTGTGATACCAATGGTGCGAGGAACATGGTCACGAAGAGAAGATGAATTACGTTTGAGATCAAGCATCACCTCCTCAGCGCTTTGCACGATCCAACAACGTCTCACACCGCTTTGTTGACACAATAGGTTATCCTTCTCATGGAGAGTTTCAACGACTCCTTGTAGTGCAATGCTGAGGCGGGCAGATGCGACGGTAGTACTGGCCAAGGGTTTGTGGGGAGGTCGATGGTGGACTGCATGAACAGACGGCGCAATTGATCGAGATCGCTGCGGCAGGGAGAGATTATTCCGCTCTGTGATGTCAGCAATACTGCAAAGCCTAGGGGCGATTTGTGTGCTTTAAGTGCATAGTACAGATATGACAGCGTGTTTTTGTGTGTATATCCCCATAGATGATTCCAGAGCGCGTGATGTTCGAGAATATCTGCGACAAAGTCAAGAGGCACAACATAGGTAGGGCTGTCCAAATGACCAGACAGATGAGACAGGTACCAATTTTTACGACAGATTGCCAAGTTATGTGAGGTCTTGTCGACAGGAACAATAGCAAAGAGTTGTTGAAGGTGTCTCAAAGCCCTGTGCACTGAGTGAAGGGAGTGCGGTTGTCGTGTGGTAGTGTGGGGGGATGAGATGCTGCTTTGGCAATGTGTGCGAACGGCTGAGCGCCACTGCTGCAATTTGTTCAGAGCGGCCGGCCAAAGCTGCTCGGAGACCAACCTCAGGTATTTAGCAATATACTCGTCAAGGCCGACTCTAACAGCCTGCAGCACATCAGCGATTTGTCCATTACGACGATTCTTCGAGCCTTCATGGAACACGTCGCGGAGGCGATCATCAGGAATAATGTCGCAGTCGGTTGAGCAGTCAGGAAACACTTTCCGACATTGACAGTCTGAGGGGTCAGGCAGGGAGATCCCAGGTGTGACGCCGAGCGCAACTTTCGTGATATTAGAGAATTTGACGCGAGTTGGCGGCAACAACTTATCACAGATACGCAGGTGTGCTGCGACATCAGGGTCAGAGTGCAAGTGGAGCACCTGGGATGCATGCAGGGCAAGCGGAGCACCTGAGGTGCATGCAGGGCTTGTTGCAGCCCCATTACACCTCGTGCATGTGCGGAACTTTAATATGATCAAGAAAGGCATCTCGAGACTGAGCTGTGTATCGCTGGCGGACATGTTGATGCTTTCGAATCAGGCATTCAAGCTGACGGATATGCGCAGTCATATCTGCATTGGAGATATTATTGCTCAACCACTGCAGCAAGCGGGCACGCCAAACTGATGTTGCTYGYTGGATGACAYATTCCATCTGTTGCGAATTGCYAGCAGCAGCCTGTGAGAGAAGATTGYGCAATGCAGACCGGACTTGAAARTCKGGGCCTGGACGCAAATCAATAGGCTGGGGCTGTTGATGGTCTAACGGACGAGGGCCTGTCTGTGTCCACCGATGAGGACGACGTTATCGTCTTCTTGCAGGCAGGCGAGCAAGCGGCAGGACAGCGTTGAGACCAGATGGATGAAGAGTCCGCAACCGGCGCGCCCAATAGGCTTCCCGTGTCGTAGCAGCCCGTCGGAAAAGGTTACGGTCAACAAGACCTTGTGGTGTATGGTAACGGGTCAGGTCAATACGTTCCAAGGGCCAGACTGCAAAATTGAAGGGGTTTTGACAAGACATGACATTGCAAAGCCGGCGACGCCGAAACTCCGCAGCAGAACGACGAACATGCCAATGTTCCTGCAAACGTTGATGCGAGGAGTGCATAGTCTGACCTATGTAAAGACGCCCAGAGGGAATATGAACGATGGCATACATATATATCGTCACAAGGATATCAGAGCGCAAAAACGAACAAAAACAAAAGGAAACAAGAAAGATATCAATTCATTTTTATCTTCCTACTTACAACTCCCCCTGTTCAGAACCTCTTGCGTACACAGCCGCCCACGTGGATGTGGTTGACCGGCGGCTGCCCCCACCCCCGTGTGTCATATGGACCCGCTTGCACACAGCCAAAAGGCAAAGAGGCAAAGAAAGAGGAAGGGAACAACCAAATATAACAAATCAGGGGGAAACAAACATAACAAATCCTAGATGACAAGTCCCACATGCAAGCACCGCCCCCTACATCACAGGCCAAACGACGGGACAATGACCAACCAGGATATCAATCAAAATATATACATCCGGACACTCTATGTCCACTTTGCAGCCATGGGCGCTATACTGAATTCATGGTCTTTTGTGGTGACCGTTCTTCCTTCATTTTGGCCTGCAATCAACATGCCACTCGTCGGGGTGTATCATGGGCATGCTCAATGCCAGCCATCGTGGCAATTGTTGCACTGAGAATGCTCAGCTAGGTTTTCCATGTGGTCATCCACCTCATCCTGACAATGTATGTCCTCTCTGTCGTCAAGAACAGACTCATTATTGAGCCTTTTCTTATCCTCGCATTCGGCTTCATCTTCACTCCACACTCCGTATTTTCCCTTTATCGTTGTCTGCTCTCCATCTGTCCTCCCTGTGTTTATTCCCTCCCCCTTCACTCTGCCTCTTTCTCACAACGTACAAGTGGGCCGTTATGGTACACGGGGATGGCGGCAGCTCGCGCTCAACTTCATCAACGTGGTGAGCCTTGTACGTGAGAGGCAATGTGAAGGGGGAGTTAAAAGAAGAACGAGAAAAATGAATGGTTTCGGTGTGCCCTTCATGTTTGTCTTGTTTTTTTATTTATTTTTTATTTTTGCCGTTTGTTTCGCAAAGTGCGCTCTTTTAGTTCATAGTTATGTGGCAATTGCCACGACAGCTGGCATTGAGCATGCCCCACCATACACCCCCGACAAATGGCATGTCGATTGCAGGCCAAAATGAAGGAAGAAAAGTCACCACAAAAGACCATGATTTCAGTATAGCGCTCATGGCTGCAAAATGGACATATAATGTCCAGATTCCGTATAGCGCCCGTGCAGTCAGGAACGGAGGGCCAGTCCTCTGGACACATGGATGCAGAAACCATGTCATTGTAGTGATTGTGACAGAGACGATGGCGGCCACAGCCGAGTGTAACAGTGTTTGTGGCTGTGCAAAGGAGAGGGTCGCAGAGTGTTGGTACATCGTCTTGCTGCAGCACGTGGCCAGAGGGATGATCTTCGACATAAAAGAGATTGCGGACGGTTTGTTGTGGCAAGAAAAGAGCATCATTTTGTAAGAAACAAGAATCGAAAAACGTTTCACAGGCAAACGAGTGAAGTGGCGCATCAATTTGTTATCTCAGCTTTTCTCGTTTTTTTTGGGGGGGGAATGTCTGAAGTGGTGCAGCGATTCATATACTTACGCAGTCAGCTTTCGCCATTGACGACAGTCCTATGCTTGCGGCAACAATGCCACCGATCAGCCCAATTATGAACAAGCTCACCCATGGATCAAAGCAGCACGTGTGCCAAGCCCTGCAGTTCCAAAAACACACACACAGATTTTTACCACCCAGATCACATCAACCGATTGTATAAATGCATGCATCCTCAACTATATTGCTGGAAATCTGCAAAAGATTTGATTGGAGCTAGATTTGATTCAAGCTTGGTCTACATCTGGTTTGCACTTGGTTTGCACTTGGTTTGCACTTGGGAAGTGTTGCTTGGAATTGATCAGAAGCTGGTCTAAGCCTGGTTTAAACCTGGTTTAAGGTCTGGTTGCACTTGGTTTGCACTTGGTTTGCACTTGGTTTGCAC